TCAGATCTGCTTGATATAGGATCACTCTGAGTCACAGGGGACTCGATGGTACAAAACAAAAATATACCTTTTGTTCAAGAACCAGTGGAACTGAAGAAAGAAGCCCAAGTTTCAGTGAAAGCTACAGGAAATTATGGCACACCAGATGATATAGTTCAACAAATGAATGCAGTGCTGTTGTGCTCACTTGTCTATGTCAAGAAATTTAAAACACAGCTTCCTCGTCACCAACTAGAATAGATTCATATCTGTGTCCATTCCAAAGAAAAATGATCCAACATTTTCCATCAGAATGTGGAAATCATTAGACAGTAACACATGGAAGTAAAGTCTTGCTAAATAGAAGCCAGGATGACATCACCAGGAACTGTCAAAATTTAAACCTGGATTCAAAAGAGGGAGTGGAATAAAGGACATCATTACTGATGTCAGATGGATCTTGGCTAAAAGCAAAGAATACCAAAAAGATGTTTACCTGTTTTTTATTAACTAAGCAAAGGTATTTGACTATTGTTGTTGTTATGATTGCCATTGAGTCAAGCACAACTCATAGCAACCTGATGAACAAAAGGCCTGAAGCCTTTCTATAACTATCGTCATTTATCAAAGTTCATAGAGTTTCCAGAGGCATGTTGTTTAGGAAGTGGATGCCACTCCTGCTTCCAAACCTGTCTTAAATTGGGTAACAAATTTGGCATTTGACACCCCAGTGGCACAAGGTTCAGCATCACAGCAAACCCAGGTTACCTCAGTACAGAATTTTGACAGAGTGCTGTACCACCTCAGAAGACTGTTCCTCCAAAATATAATAACAACTGACTTTAAAACAAAAGTCTTTCCCAAGGTCTTGTTGACTCTAAAAAAGAGGCTTAAATAAAAAACAACCAATATAGTATGTTTGTTATGTGTCGTTGAGTCGCCTGTTACCCATAGCAACCTTATGTACAACAGCTCTGAACTCTTCCCTGTCCTGAGCCAGTCTCACTAATTCTGACACACCAGCCCCCATTGCCCTAGGTACTGTATCAATCCATCTCATCTGGGGTCTTCCTCTCTGTGCTGTCCCTCCACTCTTCCGAGCATGATGTCCTTCTCCAAGAACTGATCTCTCCTGGCCATATGCCCAGAGTATGTGAGATGGAGCTTCAAAATCCTAGCCTCCAATGAGAGACTTGGTTTCATCCTCTCCAAGACAGACCAATTTGTGTTCTTGGCAGTCCATGGTATGTTCAAGACTCTTTTCCAGCATCTCAACTCAAAGTCATCTGTTGTTCTTCTGTTATCCTTAGTCATTGTCCAGGATAACACTGAGAAGAGTGAGAATCACAGAACACTTAATTGTACTGATAATGAATCTGTACATAGACCCAAGAAGCAGTCATTTTAACAGAACAGGGGAACACTGCAAGGTTTAAAATCAGGAAAAGTGTATGTCAAGGGTTGTATTGTTTCAGTATACTTATTCAGTCTATGTGCTGAGCAAATAATTTGAAAAGTTAGACTAGGTGAAGAATGTGGCATCAAGATTAGAGGAAGAAGAATCATTAACTTGTGATATGTCGGTGATACAACCTTAATTGCAGAAAGCAAAGGCTTAAAGTGCTTACTGGTGAATAGCAAAAGATTTATAGCCTTCAATATGTTGTTCATCATTAGAAAACTAAAGTCCTAATAAATAGAGAAAAGATTGACGTTTTCAAGGATTTTTTTGTCTGTTCACATTTAATTCCCATTACTAGGGTGCTCCTGACCCAAATCATGCCAATTTTAATTGTTTCATATGCCTATAAAAGTTGCACAATGAATAAGGAATACTGATTCTGCTGTCATCTTTAGTCATTGTCCAGTTCTCTGATGTATAGCAAGTAATGGCGAAGACCATGGCCTGGATCAGGCATACCTTAGTCTCTAGACTGACACTGCTGCTTCTCAGTACTCTGGAGAGGTCCTTGACAGCAGATTTTCCAATGCAATTCATCTTTTGATTTCCTCACTGCTGGTGCCAAAAGTGTTGGTAGTGGAGCCAAGCAAGCTGTAATTGTTAGCAACCTCAATATCTTCATCTATTGTGGTACTACTGCCAGTTGGCCCAGTGGTGAGAATCTTTGTCTTGATGTTGAGCTGCCATCCATATTAAGACTATAGTCCTTGAATTTATGTAGCAAGTGCTTCAGGTTCTTCGTTTCAGTAAGCAAGGTTGTGTCATCTACATAACATAGATTGTTGATGAGTCTTCCTCAAATCTTGATGCCATATTCCTCATCAGCTTCCTGAATGATCTGTTCTGCCTATAGATTAAAAAGGTATGGAGACAGGATTCATCCTTGGCGCACTCCTTTCCTGATTTTGAACCATTCAGGGTTTCCTTGTTCTGTTCTGAGGACTGCTTCCTGGTCAAAATATATGTTTTGTATAAGCCCAGTCAATTGTTCTGGGATTCCCATTTTCTTCAAGGTTAGCCACAAATTGTTGTGATCCATATAATCAAATGCCTTTACATAGTCAATGAAACACAGACATTCATCTGGTACTATTTTTTGGGATTATCTAAATTAAATCCAGCTGGTTAATTCTAAATACAAATTTTTCACGCACAAAAAAAAAGGAAAGAAATTAGACAATATTATAGTTTCAGGAATGAAAAGGTATTTAGATAGGATGCATCTTTGAAGCACTCCTTTCCTGATTTTGAACCATACAATGTTTAAAATAAATATGAATGGACATACTATGCCTTTCCTCTACAATAGTAGACCTCTGGTGGCCTAATGGCAAGAAGCTGTGCTTCAGTCCCAAAGGAATGTGGTTCAAGGCCACCAGCTCCTCAGAGGGAGAAGGATGGGCAGTTTCCTCCAGTAGGATTAATGGCCTCTGAAAACCCACTGGAGGATAAACTATGGGTTGGTTGTGAATCTATCGTACACAACAACTGCAGCAGTACATTTCAGCCACTATTTTGAAGCAGCTGTGTATTTTCAATCACAACTTAAGCACACAGTTGTATAATTATACATATAGTTGTTGTTTGGTGCCATCGAGTCGTAGACGACTTATAGCGACCCTGTGAGCGAAAAGGCCTGAGCATTGTTCATAGGATTTCCAGAGGCAAGCCATTTCAGAAGTGGATGCTGCTCCTGCTTCCAGGCTCATTTTAGCCGGGAAGCTCCAGCAAACACTGTCCACCATGGGTAACCATTACCATGTTTGGCACACCAGTGTCACAGTGGTCAGCATCTCAGCAACCACGAGTTACCTCTGTACAGCAATGCACAGACTAATACTATACCATCTAGAAGAATGTTTGACAGGAAAACAATTTGAACCCGGCCTGAGGGCCGCAGATCAAAATCATCCACCTTCAGCTTGGTAGCATATCTTTCTGTCCACTAGGCCAATGTAATCAATTATAGTAATTAAGAAAAATCCAAGTACCCTAGGATTTACCCTGAACTTGTGTGTCTAGGGCTAAGGGTTTGAGCTACAAATCTAAATGGCAGTGGGTGTGGTCTGTTTCAGATGGTTCTAATGGGTGGTGTAATGGAAATACATTACCTCATCTGCAGAAGAAAAGATAGGATCTACCCCATAAAGATCGCCTTTGCCTTGAATTGATTCCAACTCATAGTTATCCTGTGGGAACACCGTAGGACCACCTCACAAATTTCCAAATCGGTAATCATCATGGGACCGGAAGCTGTGATAGTGTGCTGCTAATCCAAAGACTGCTCATTTCCGGTGGTTTGGAGAAAGATGAGCGTTCTCCTTCAGCTACAGCGCACAGCCTCAGAAACCCAAGGGAGGGTAGCTATGAGTCAAACAACTTGGAGGCAGTAAGTGATTAATCCTTTTGGAAACAGATCACCTCCTTGCTCCTTCAGAGAAATTAATGGGTTTGGCTAGCCATTCTATTAGTTAACAGCCACATACTTAACCGGTAAGCCACCACAGCCTCATGCCATAAAGATGATAGCCTAGGAAGCCCTGTGGACCAGTTTGACTCTGTTAGTTTAGCATTGCTGTGAGTCAGCAGTACCTAGCAATAACAGCTGTTCAGATCTCCATTTTGTGGGTTTAAAATCCCAATTCCAGGGATTAATGGGCTGAATTTGGACTATTTCTATTCAGTGAAACTGTCATTTCTCAGACTAACTCACGACCATCAGTAAAATTTCGTCCTTCTTTCCCCTGTAAAGGGAGCAGATGGAATGTGGAGGTGGCGATGACTGAGTCTGACTTCTGACCGCTTCATAAAGGAGAACTAAACAATATCCCTCGACAATATCCATAGCAGCAAAGAGAAAGCTGCTAGGTCAGTCATGATACCTCACATGCTTCTGCACCTATTTCCACCAGTCACTGGGTTTGATATTCTCTGTTGACTCACAGACTTTACTTACTCGCAATTGTGGTACAAGAGTGGTACCCTTAGGGAAATAGGTTGGGGCGGGGGTGGGAGAAGCAAAGACTATCTCACAATGCAAGTCTAAATTTAGTTTTAGCAGTCCCAAGCCAGATTAACAGCAAAATGTTGTTTTTAAGAGCTATGGAGTCATTTGCTCATAGCAACTGTATGTACAACAGTTTTGAACCCTGCTCTGTCCTGTGCCAACCACATCATCTCCGACAAACCCATCACCTTTTCCCTAGTTACTGAGTCAATCTATCTCATCCACAGTCTTCCTGTCTTGTGCCGTCCTCTATACTCCCAACCATGATTTCCCGCTCCAAGGACTAGCACCTGCTTGCAACATGCCCAAAGTGTGTCAGATGGAGCTTCAGAATCCTTGTCTCCAAGGAGTACCCTGGTTTCACCCTCTCCAGGACAAACTTGTTTGTTCTCCTAGTGGCCCGTGGTAAATTCAGTACTCTTCTCCAGCACCACAGATCGAAGGCATCAATCCTCCTTCTATCATCCCTGTCCAGTTTTCTGATGCATAGCAAGTAATTGGGAAAGCCATGGCCTAGATCAGGCATAATCTAAGATCAGCCTTAGTCTCCAGACTCCAAACTTTTGTTGCTCTTCAGCACTCTGGAGAGGTTCCTAAGAGCAGATTTTCCCAATGTTACTTGTCTTTTGATTTCCTGGCTGTTGGTACTAAGTGCTGATTATGGAGCCAAGCTGTTAATAATCTCAGTCTCTTCACCATCTATCATAATGTTGCCAGTTGGCCCACTAGTGAGGATCTCTGTATTCTTGCTATTGAGCTTCAGTTCATATTGAAGGCTAGCATCCTTGATTTTCTGAGGCAGCAAATTCCTCACTCAGGTCCTCCTCAGTTCCACCAAGCAAGATTGGGTCCTCTGCATAAGTCAGATTGTTGATCAGTCTTCCTCCAATCCTGATTGCCATATTCCTCTTCAGAAGGACCAGCCTCCCAGATGATGTGTATTGCATATAGATTGAAAAGGTACGGAGATAGGACATATCCCTGGCGTACTCCTTTCCTGGTTTTGAACCATGCAGTGTTTCCTCACTCTGTTCTGATGACTGCTTCCTGGTCCAAGTATAGGTTTTGCAGAAGCACGGTCTCTGGGATTCACTTTTTTTTTTCTTCCAAAGTTAGCCACAGTTTCTTGTGATCCAAACAGTCAAATGCTTTTGCATAGTCAATGAAACAGATAAGACATTCCTCTGGTATTCTCTGCTTTCAGCCAAGATTCATCTAACATTAGCAACAATATCCCTAGTCCCCATGGCCTCTTCTAAACCCAGCCTGGACATCTGGCAGTTTTCTGTTGATGTACTGTTCTAGTCGTTTTTGGATAACTTTCAGAAGGACCTTCCTTTCATGTGATATTAATGACAATTTTTCAATAATTTCCAACACTGAATCCATCCATCTCATCGAGGGTCTTCCTCTCCTGCGCCACCCCTCTACTCTCCCAAACATGATGTCCCTCTCCAAGGACTAGTCCCTCCTTGCAACATGCCCAAAATATGTCAGAAGAAGCTTCAGAATCCTTGACTCCAAGGAGCAATCTGGCTTCACCATCTCCAGGACAAACCTTGTTCTCCTAGCAATCCGTGGTATATTCCACACTCTTCTCTAGCACCACAGCTCAAAGGCATCAATCCTCTTTCTATCAACCCTATTCACTGTCCAACTCTCTGATGCATAGCACATAATTGCAAAGACTATAGCCCAGGATCAGGCACACTTTAGTCTCCAGCCTGACATCATTGCTCTTCAGTACTCTTGAGGTCCCTGACAGCTGACTTTCCCAATGCAATTCATGTCTTGATTTTGTGGCTGCTGGTACCAAGACTGTTGACTGTGGAGCAAAGCAAACTAAAACTGTTAACTATCTCATTCACCATCCATACTGACGCTGCCAGTTGGCCCAGTGGTAAGAATCTTTGTTTTTTTGATGTTGAGCTTCAATCCATATTGAAGGCTGCAGTCCTTCTGCAGCAAGTGCTTCAGGTCCTCCTCAGCTTCAACAAACAGAATTGTGTCATCTGCATAATGCAGGTTGTTGATGATTCTTCCACCAATCCTGATGCCATGTTCCTCCTTGTACAGCCCAGCGTCTCGGATGATCTGTTCTTCATACAGATTGAAAAGGTATGGAGACAGAATACATCCCTGACGGATCCCCTTCTTGATTTAGAACCATGTAGTGTCTCCTTGCTCTGTTCTGACGACTGCCTCTTGGTCCAAATATAGGTTTCACACTAGCATAATCAAATGTTCTGGAATGGCATAAGCACAATCAAATGTTCTGGGATTCCGGTTCTTCTCAGAGTCAGCCATAGCTTGTTGTGATCCACAAAGTCAAAATCCTTTGCATAGTCAGTGAAGCACAGATAGACATTCTTCTGGTATTCTCTGCTATCTGGCAGTTCTCTTTCGACATATTTCTCCAATAGTTTTTGGATAATTTTCAGCAGAATCTTTCTCACATATGATATTAATGTTATTGTTCGATAATTTACACACTCTGTTGGGTCACCTTTCTTTGGAATGGGCACAAATAACAATCTTTTCCAGTCAGTTGACCAAGTGGCTGTCCTCCAGATTTCTTGGCATAACTTAGTGAGCACATGGTAGCGTCAATTGCTATGCTATCAACTACTGGAGCCTTGTTTTTTGCCAATTCCTTCAGAGCAACTTGAACTTCCTCCTTCATCACCACAGGTTCTTGCTTATACGTTATTTCATGAAATTCTTCTGTGTTAGCCAATTCCTTCTGATGCAGTGTCTGTGTACTCCTTCCATCTTCTTTTAATGCTTCTTCGATCACTTAAACATTCTATCTAAAGTATCCTTAAGTATTGCCACCCGTGGCTTGAATTTGTTTTTCAACTCCTTCAGCTTAAACACTGAGCGAGTTCGACCTTTTCATTTTCTAACTCCAGCTGTCTGCACATTTCATTATGTATCTTGCTTTGTCGTTCCGAACTGCCTTTTGAAAGTTTCTATTCAGCCCTTTGATTCCTTGGTTTCTTCCTTTAGCTTTGGCTTCTCAGGGCTCTAATGCAATATTCAGTCTCATCTGACATCCATCTTGGTCTTTTCTTCTTTTTCAGCCTTTGTAATGAACTTTTGCATTCTTACTGGACAATTTTCTTGATATACTCCCAGAACTCATTTGGTTTACACTCACTGGTGCTCAGGGTTTCAAACCTGTTTCTGAGATGGTTTTGAAAGTTGAGTGGGAAAGAATTAAGGTCAGGTTTTGGGGCCTGTGGATTTGATTTAATTTTCCTCAACTTTAGCTTGAACTTGCATATGAGTGGTTGGTGGTCTATCCCACAATCAGCACCTCGCCTGGTTTTCACAGCTGATATTGAGCTTCCCCAGCGAGTCTTTCCACAAATGTAATCTGTTTGATTCCTATGCATACCATCAGGTGAAATCCATGTGTATAGCCTGCATTTGTGTTTCTTATTAAAGGTATTTCCAATTAATAAATCATTGAATGTGCGGACTTCTATCATTCTATCCCCAGCCACATTTCTCTGAGTCCGTTTTCCTTCTTCCCTGTTCCCAACTTTTGTGTTCCCATCACCCATTATTATCAATGCATCTTGATTGCATGTTCAATTTCTGATTGCAAAAGTTGATAGAAATCTTCCAGTTGCTCCTCTTTGGCTCTAGTTGTTGGTGCATATATTTGAATGATAGTGGTATTCATTGGACTTCCTTGTATGCGTGTGGATATTATTCTGTCACTCACCACATTGTATTTCATGACGGATCTAAAAGTGACTTTTTTAATTATGAAAGCAACCCCATTTTTTCTCACCTTTTCATCCCTGGCATAGTAGATCATATGATCATCTGATTCAAAATGTCCCATGCCAAGCCATCTCATTTCACCAATACCTAGTATGTCAATATTTATGTGTTCTATTTCTTTCTTAACAATGTCCAATATATGTATGGATATTAACTTGTCACTAAAAATGTTGTACTTCAAGATGGATCTAGAAATGACTTTTTAAAAATTTTTAATTTATTATTAATTTCAGAGAAAATTTACAGACTTTGGATTTCCATTCATCGTTACACTTTTCTCTCCTCCCAACCCTCCCCCCCAGTACACTACCCTCTTTGAAAAGTAAAAGAGAAATTCTTTCATTGCTTTACAAACCCTCCCCCCACCCCAAGGTCCACTCCACTATGCAGGCTTTGCTCTGGACTCCCATCATGACAAAAATACCTAATCACATATCCCTTTTAAAGTTTTCTCCCTCATCTGTTTCAATGCAGTACACATTATTGAACCCATCTTTCTCAGTCCCTCCCCAACCCTGAGGTCAGTCCTGCTTTACAACAGTGGCAGTCCTTTACAACAGTATTTGTCCTTTTGTGACTGAGTTACTTCACTTAGCATAATGTCCTCTAGGATCACGCATTTTGAATAATATTGTATGAGTTCCTTGTTTTTCAATGCAGCGTAGTATTCCACTGTGTGAATATACCAGAGCTTTTCTATCCATTTGTTGGTGGGCACTCAGGTTGTTTCCAGCTCCTTGCTATGGTGAACAAAGCCGTGATAAACATGGGTGTGCATATATCTGCTTGGATGTCAGTTATGGTCTCTTTGGGGTATATTCCCAGTAGTGGAAACTTTTTGATAAAGTGCCATACCACCTTCCACAGTGGTTGCACCATTTTACACTTCCACCAACAGTGAATAAGGGGTCCAGTTTCTCTACAACCTTGCCAGCATTAGTTGCTTGCTATTCTGTAAAATTTTGCTATTCTGACTGGGGTGAGATGATATCTCATAGTTGTTTTAATTTGCATCTCTCTTAGAGCTAGGGATTTTGAAGATTTCATCATGTGCTTGTTGACCATCTGAAGGTCTTCTTGGGTGAAGTGTCTGTTCATATCCTGTGCCAATTTTTTCAATTGGATGATTTACTTTTACCTTGTTGTGGTGAGAAATTACTTTTAGAATTATGAAAGCAACCCCATTATTTCTCACCTTTTCATCTCCAGCATAGTAGATCATATGGTTTTGTGATTCAAAATGTCCCATGCCAATCCATTTCATTTCTCCAGTACCTAGTATGTAAATTTTTGTTTTCCATTTCTTAACAATGTGAAATTTTCCTACATTCATGCTTCTCACATTCCACATTCCAATTCCTTAATTTATAAAAGTCCTAGTTTCAGTTCAACAGAAATGCAAGAAGCCTCTTATTTCCTCGATTAACCAGCAAAGTTTGCCTCAGAAAAGTTTTAAGTCGGCTTCTCCTTCAATCATCCAGCAAAAACAGCAAATCTTTTAACTGTGGCCTTTATCACAGGGCTTCTCGGGTTACACCTTGCTACAGTTTCTCCACGGCAGTGCCACAGTCTCGCTCTCATCAGGGTCTCACTCTCACCACGGTCTTTCTCCAGTGTCTCTCAAGTCTTGCTGCCTAGTATGGGAAGCACTCTCTCTTACCCTAATCACACAGCTTTTGATTTGTAAGACCATGTATCTACAAGTAAGATAGCTAAAGACCAAAGGGGGCTAGCGAATGGCTTAAAAGGCCAACTTTTAAGCTAACACTCCATACATTATTCATCTTCTTAAATCTCATTTTAACTACACTTATTCTAAGATTAATTCTGTGAGCACATTTCATTTGTGTATCATTTAATTTTACATACTCTTAGCTTATATATTACACTTTCTGACTGTAAGTTTGATTTCATTCCCCTATTAATTTTCAAGGGTAAAAGTCATGTTATTTTGGTACCTTTGCCTCTTCCATTCTTTATCCAGTTCATAATTTAATTATTAACTCACTGGCCTGTGATTTTAGCAGGTACAAGTGCAGTTGTGACATTTTTCTAAAACTTGTTTCTCATGTGCTGTTTGTTGCCTATCCATTATATTTCCCTACAGGCTCAGAGCAGAGCAAAGAAAAACTAATACCAAAGACCAAGTTATTCACCAGAAGCTTTGACGATGGCCTAGGCTTTGAACATGTAATGTTCTATAATAAGGATGAGAAAAGAATGGTTTGCATATTTCAAGGAGGTCCTTACCTACAAGGAATACCTGGGTAAGAATAATAGCCTAGATATGTGGGATATTTTTTTGTCTTATCTCTCTCCATATATTTGAACTACAATGAAGGCAATAAAAAGATAGTATAGATGTATCTTTCTTGACATGGAAAAAAAAAAGTCCAGTGTAATGGAAATGAGAACTGCAGAGTGGGAGTAGGGAGAGTATAGTTACATTAATATCTTAAACTTACTCTAAACTCACTCATCACACACATTTTTTTAAAATAACATATTTTTAATGTATTTCATTAAAAAAATCATACAGCATAGTGCTATAGAGTATAATTTAAGATCATCAAGGTGTTAATAGTAGTTGTCACTAGGTGCTAGATTATGGTCCTTACTACATACCTATCTTTTTTTAGCTGCATTTTCTAAAAAAAAAAGTAAAATAAAAGGAATACTGTTGACTACTGTTCACCAGTATTTATTTATAATAAACTATATGCAAAGATTAACACTTTGATTACTACAAAGTTGTTACTGTCTTCAACGGAGCCAGTAACCCAAACATTTTCTTATCTAGATGAAGAGGTTTTTACTAGTGGTAAGATTTTTCTCTCAAATAATTTTGCAAATAAATACTTTTGTTAGTGTGACTATAATAGGGATTTTGATAGTAAGGCTTTAAATTATCTGTTTAGTTACTGGGTCATTTACTTGAAAGCATGTTGTTGTTATGTGCCATTGAGTCGCCTGCAACTTATAGCGACCCTGTGTACAACAGCCCTAAATTCTGCTCTATCCAGTGCCAATTTCACTGTCTTTCACACACCTACTCCCATAACCCCAGTCACCAAATCAGTCCATCTCATAGAGAGTCTTCCTCTCCTATGCTGTCTCTCCACCCTCCCAAGCATGATGACCCTCTTCAAGGACTGGTCCCTCTTTGTAACATGTCCAGAGTATGTCAGATGAAGCTTCAGAATCCTTACCTCCAAGGAGCAGCCTGGTTTTACCATCTCAAGGATGAACCTGTTTGTTCTCTTAGCAGTCCATGGTATATTCAGGGCTCTTCTTCAGCACCACAGCTCAAAGGCATCAGTTCTTCTATCATCCCTAGTCATTGTCCAGCTCTCTAATGCATAGCAAGTGATTGCAAAGACTGACCTGTATCAGCTGCACCTTAGTTTCCAGACTGACATCATTGCTCTTCAGAACTTTGGAGAGATCTCTAACAGCAGACTTTCCCCTCGCAATACATCTTTTAATTTCCTGACTGCTGGTACCAAGAGTGTTGTGGAGTCAAGCAAACTAAAGCGGTGAACAATCTCAATCTCTTCACCATCTATCATGATGCTACCAGTCATCCCAGTGGTAAAAGTCTTTGTTTTCTTGATATTGAGCTTCAATCCATATTGAAGGATTTGAATGAGATCTTCTAAGAATCAAATCTCTATGCACATCCAAAAACTTCTCCAACAGGGTAAAAAGGGAAGCCAGAGACTGGGAAAAAATATTTGACAATGACATGTCAGATAAGGGACTTATATCTAGAATTTATAAAATACTTGAGCACCACAACAACATAAAAGTAAACAATCCAGTTGGAAAATGGGCACAGGATATGAACAGACACTTCACCAAAGAAGACA